GCTTGATACATAAAATAACTCATTTCTATACAAGTTACATTGCTATTATATATATTTGTGTGTATGTATATATACATACAACACACACACACACACACATACACACACTGAACTGTGCAAGACACCCAGTAGTCTGTGTCTACCTCTACTGTCAGTTTTTATCCAAATAGCTAGGCCATTTGGATCTGTACTCATAAGCTAAGCTCTCTTGATATAATTTTTTTTCTATGTGTGTGGGTATTTTGCTTGTATGTATGTGCACCATGTGTGTGCCTGGTGTCCTTGGAGGCTGGAAGACAGTCAGGAAAGCAGTAATAGACTTTGTGAATTGTCATGTAGGTGCTGGGAATTGAACCCAGGTCCTCTAGAAGAGCAACCAGTGCTTTTATCCACTGAGCCATCTCTCCATCCCCAGCTTGTTTCTTTCTTGATATCATTCTTATGACCTGCCTGGACCCCAGACAGTAAGGATTTCTGGAGTTGCAACCAAGGCCTCTGGAACAATGCATCAGGTCACCTCACTGTGAGTCCAGCCCTTTTTTGCGCTCCCAGTTGGATAACTAGCTTTCTGTATCATTATACACCCACCATCTCCTTGCACTACAAGATTGCCAGTGGGTTTCTACCTTGGGAACCCTCTCTACCTGAGGTCTAGTTTAGATCATTTGTCTGCTCTAACTTCTCTAGGACCAGGACCTGACAAACTCCCCGTCATCCATTCTGTCCCAACCACAAACAGGCACCTGATAGGTCTTATGGTCCTTAGCCACAGTGACAAAACCCAAGGGGACGAAGAGTTGGGAAATAGCCACTGAACACTCCCCCGCCAAGAAAGGGGCTAGGACCGAAAGCACCACGGGTGAGGGCGTGGAGGGAAGCTGGGTGACCCAATCAGTGTCACTGGCCTCACATCAGAAGTCAGAGGGAACTGGAGGAGGCAATATGGGGATATGCAGAGCAAGGTGGCTATTCCTAGGAGATTTATAAATGTGTGTCAGTACCCCAGGCAACAGGCAGGATCTCAGGGACCAGAACTAGTCAAAAGGGGTCTTGTCCCAGGCAGCTTAGCTGAAGAGACCTGCAGACTAGGAACTGCCTCAGGGGAGAAAGACTCTTGACAAGCCTGGGCAGACAGGGGAGGTGCACGTGTCTTGAAGGCTTTTCCCGGCCTCCTCTCTGGCCCTTATTCTGTTTGCCCTGTCATTTGCATTCAGAGCTTTGCATTCAGAGCTTGTTTCCTAAGATACAGCTTTCCTTCCATTACTCCCTGCTCAGGATCTTTACCAAATGCTCACATTGTGTGTGTGTGTGTGTGTGTGTGTGCGTGTGTGTGTGTGTGTGTGTGTGTGTGTCTGTGCGCGCACGTGTGTGTCTTCAGCTGTCTAGCCTGATAGCTGTTACAAATCTCCCAGAACAAGACAGCGTGGTACAACCAAAGCCAATGACGGGGCATGCTGCAGTCAGGCTTAGGATTGAAAATAGATTAAAAATAGATAGTTAAGGAAGCCCAGGGTGGTGGCGCATGCCTTTAATCCCAGCATTTGGGAGGCAAAGGCAGGTGGATCTCTGTGAGTTCGAGGCCAGCCTGGTCTACAAAGTGAGTTCCAGGACAGCCAGGGCTACACAGAGAAACCCTGTCATCAAAAACAAAAACAAACCCAAACAAACAAATAAACAACAACAACACAAAAAAGAGAGAGAGAGAGAGAGAGAGAGAGAGAGAGAGAGAGAGAGAGAGCGAGCGCTGGGAGTGAGAAAGCTGGATTCTATGTCTGCGAAGCTGCTGAAGCCTTTAACTCAGACGTGTGTGGCGTTGTTTGAGAACGGACCGTCTCAGGCAGAGATGGAGAGAAGACAAGAGGTTTGTTTGCAGGGAGCTGAGGATGGAACCCGGGACTGTGCACACTAGGCCAGTGCTCCATCAGCAGCTGGGGATTAGGCTTTTGGTTTGCAGTTCAAGCAAAAGACCGGTGATGCTCACGTCTGATGGAGTGAAAACACACGTGACCAAGACATTTTCTTCACGCACTCATCGGTCCAGTGTCTACTTGTTGATTCCACATGTGCATGTTGAGTGCTTTCTGTGTCAGGTCTGTACAAGGCAGAGGGAAGCAGATGTGAGCAGGAGATGCAGGACTCTGCCTCCCAGCAGTTACAGAGTAACAATAGTGTGACAGGACAGCCTGTCACTGGGGCACCTGTAAAGGGCACCTATCCCTTGCTAGGGATCTGCCAGCTCCCAAGCACCCTATTTGTTTTCCTCTGCTTCCTTGTGTGTGTGTTAGATGTGCAGGCTGACTTAGGCTCTGGAAACAGACTTTCCCCAGCCTACCCTGAGCCCACCAATTCTTTAAGGTCTATCCCAGGTCTCAGATCCCTCCTGAAGAGACTTCTAGTAAAGATAGTATGTAAATGTACATTTTATGTCTACCCACTGTTCCTTGGCTCAAAATATAACACTGGCAGATTAAAACATTTAAAAAGACACACAGCACAAATACCCAGTACTATAACTAAGGCTAAAGCCACGGGCTGCTGAGCATGACTGCGAGCACAGACTGTGAATTGCGGACATCTGGTGTGGTAACAGGGACTGATGTGCTCTGTGCATGTAGAGCAGGGCACTGAGAGTGAAGCGTGATCTTTCATGGACTGCCCCAGCCCTGAGAGGAGGATGAGAAATGTTCCAAGGGACCCCTCCCTGGCATCCAGAGAGTATGCAACTGAGTATCTTAAAAGGTGGGAAATAACAACCTTACCTGAAGTAAAGACTGGGTCGGTGATGGGATCTTTTTCAATTGCACTGGGATGAAGCTTCTGAACTGTGGGCGAAAAGGTTTCTGTCTACACACTAGGACCTGAGGGCCAGGATAAAGCAGCCATAAAATAGTTGAATCTAGAAAGGGAGACAGAATACAATAAAACCTATATACAGTGGGCCTCCACCTCTCCAAAACACATGGAAAGATGAAAAATGGTAGAAATAACGAGGAGATGTGTAGCTAGAGTTTTCCGGCCTTGCCCACAGTCAGGACAAATCTTTGTCACCCACCAGTCCCACAGCCGCTCAGACCCAACCAAGTAAACACAGAAACTTATATTGCTTACAAACTGTATGGCCGTGGCAGGCTTCTTGCTAACTGTTCTTATAGCTTAAATTAATCCATTTCCATAAATCTATACCTTGCCACGTGGCTGGTGGCTTACCAGCGTCTTCCCATGCTGCTGGTCATGCCGGCAGCGGCTGGCAGTGTCTCTCTGCCTCAGCCTTCCACTTCCCAGAATCCTCCTCTCTCCTTGTCCCACCTACTTCCTGCCTGGCCACTGGCCAATCAGTGTTTTATTTATTGACCAATCACAGCAATTTGACATACAGGCCATCCCACAGCAGAGATGCTTTTACTCAAAGTGAAATGGAAATAATAGATTAATTTTTTAAGTCCTTAAAATAACTATGTCAAGACAACCCAAAGAAATAAAAGAAAGGCTAGCACTCATTAAAAAACAAACAAATACAAAATGAGAAATTGAAACCTAAGCATCAGATGAAACAAGAACAGGTGTCTATGAAACAGGATGGGGGAATGCTGGGAAGAAGATGGAGCAATCACCGAAGAAAACAGGCACTGATAAGATGACTCCAGACTGGACATAAACAGATGGCTGAAGACTCGGGAAATATACTGAGAAACTCAGAGAATGCTGCAGAGAATAGTCGGGAGATTAAAGCTAAGATATGTCAGCAAGGAAAAGGGGTTGAGCAACTCTAGCTGAAGCAGGAATTCCTGAGAAGGAGGGCAGAGCGACAGATAAGATGTTTGCACAGAGAGGGTGGCTGAGAATGTTCTGGACTTTCAAGACAGAAGTGCACAAGTTGTACTGTAGATGGATGTGGTTTTACACTTTATGACTCAGCTGTGGGTGTCTCTGGGACTTACCTCCCTTTGCTTTCCTCACCGTCCTGGCCTCTCCACTAATCCCAGGACAATACAAGCCACCTCCTACTCAGAAGTGTTCAGTTTGCACTTCCTCCGTGGGAATGCCTTTTGTCCTGCAAAAACAATAGCTCTCACCTTAAAGGGAACGGGAAAATGTTTATTCTGGAGCATAGATAAGTGACCATGGCCCAGGAACACAGATTTAGTTTCCCTCAAATTCCATGTTTCAACATGGATGCAGTTTCATGAAGTTTTTATAGCCGTACAGAACAAGGAAAGCCATAAATCACAGGAAGTTTAAAATACATTAGTGGGTCCATCTGAGAGATGGGTACAGAGATGAGGGAAGCTTTTCTATATGCTCCAAATCCTATGTGATGTCATTTTAGCTTTTGGATTGGTGGAAGCTGGTAGTCTGCTAAGTTAAGAGATTCTGAGGTGAGGAGTGGCTCTTCTGGAGGGCTAGAACTAGCCCAAGATAAGGTAATTAGCCTCTGGACTTGCAACATTCCAACCTCTCACAGTACTGACATTCTAACCAGCCAATCAGTCTCTGTAGGCTGAGCTCCTTTTCAGGAGTTTTCATTCACATTTTCCACGACATAATCAATCTATTTGGCTTGTTCACCTGTTCCTAGATTTCTCTTCATATGTTACTTTCTCAGTGAAACCTTCCTTGTTAAAAACCATACACATTGGCTTAGGAAATGAGTGACTGAATGGCGGATAGATACACATTATCCTTTCTTCCATTCAAACCCGGTATTGGGCACAGAGGTATATGTCCATTTTTTATTTAAAATCATAAATTATTATTATTGTGTGTGTGTGCACACGCACGCACCATGGCGTGTGTCTGGAGGTTGGAGGACAGCTTTCAGGAGCTGGCTCTCTCCATCTACTATGCGTGTCTTTAACACAGGTAGCCAGGGATGGCAGTAAACACCTCTGCCGGTCCAGCCCTTCTCATTTGGTGTTGTTAAATTTCATGAAAAGTCCTGCCTGTGTCCTTAAAGCTGCCATTATTACGTGTGCTTATGAATTAATAACAGATGTACTCAATCAATCTCTTTTCCCAGAAGGTTTATCATTCTCTATAATAGAATAATGAAATTGCAGAGTTATAAAGTTGAAAGAGGAGTTTATAGCCATTAGATTCGTTCTCCATGATTTACATATGAAATATGGAGCCCAAGGAAGGTGAAGTGGACACGTGGCCAAACAGCTGAGCAATGTCACGATCAGAAGGCAGCCCTTGATTCTGAGTCCAGTATTCATTTTACAGTGCCGCACATCTTTATCCTAACTGCATCCTCAGTGAAACTGGGTCACAAATAATTCTCCCCAGGAGCACCTTCCCACCCCTGTGTGCACACACATTGTCTCCAGATAACAATGGGTCACCCCATTTGCTTGGAAAAGTCCAGGCTTCCAGGTGCCGCTTCATTTAAAATGTCATTTTAACGTGTTTTTATTTCTATGGCTTCTTGTCATTAAGAGCCTATCATTAAAGTAATTAGAAGAGTCTTGCCTGTTAATCAGTCTACATTTCAATAAAACATTTTAAGATTCACAGTCCAAAGCTGTTACCTTATTATTTAAGCATGAGTTCTATTATATAAATTGTCACCACAGCACTGCCAGGCAGTTATTTATAGAAAAAAATCTGTTAGCTTTTCCCTGGTAAACCAGTGTCACACTATGCTGAAGTTATTGAAGACATTACATGGAGACAGGAGGTGGGTGGGTTTGGTCCCCATCCTGACCTCCAGCCCCAGGCTCTGGAAGACTCCCAAAGCTTCTTTTGGATGCGGTGTACGTCAAGATGGTTGAGCAGGCGCACCATTTTTGCTGCGGCAGTGAGAATTCATGTGCTAAATTTTGGGTGTCATGCATACATATACACACACACAGACATATGTATGTGGTGATAGTGAAGAAAAGACTTTTTTTTAAAGCTGCTATAATTCAGGCAGACTGCATTCCCCTCCTGGAGTGGGACTTAAGGCACTAAAAAGCAGTGAAAATGATCATCTCAGAACCAGCTTCTTTCAGGGATTGCATTGTTCTGTTTCCTGCAGGCCTGTGTCTCCAGAAGCCTTAGCATTTCTGTGGGGTTTCTCGGCTTGCATTCCCTCAGTGGGACCTTGGCTTGACCCAGGAGAGTCTTGGCTGCAAGTCCTCCAGAGAGCATGTGCAGCCTCTGGAACCAATCCATAAGTTTATCTCATTAACCGACTGGTCTGTTAACTGCTCACTTTCCTGGTGCTCTACATGCAACAAACATTTACAGACATAGGGCACCAATACAGCTAATAAGAAAGCCCAAGATGCCAGGCGGTGGTGGCTCATGCCTTTAATCCCAGCACTCGGGTTCGAGACCAGCCTGGTCTACAGAATGAGTTCCAGGACAGCCAGGGCTACACAGAGAAACTCTGTCTTGAAAACAACAACAACAACAAAAACAAAAACCAAACAATCAAAGATAAATAAATTTTTTTTTTAAATCCCAGCTGGAGTTTTTAAGTGTTTGGAATTTTTTGGTTGGTTAGTTGGTTTTTAAGATAAGCACTCATATACCGTATGCTTGTTTTGAATTTAATATGTAGCCAAAGATGACCTTGAACTTTGATCCTCTTCCCTCTGCCTCCTAAGTGTTGCCATTGCAGGTGTGCACCACCATGCCTTATTTGTAGGATTCCAAGCCAGGGCTTCACGCCTGCCAGGCAAGTACTGTACCATTTGGCCAGCATCTTTATCCTCTTTGGGGAACTTGGAAAGTCAGTATAAACTTTTTGTTGTCATTGTTCTGCACAAGGGACTTCCTGACAGGTATATGAGTCGGTAGAAATATGAAGGGAAATAGGGAACATTTGGCATAATTCTGAGATGTCCCACCTTCCATGTCCATATTCCTTTCAATGTAGGCGAATCTATTACTTGTGCATGAGCAAAGTGCTGGGGGGCACCACCGTCAAGGTTACGCTGTACAAGACTAACTTCCATCTTGACAGCAAACTCTCCCTTGATGTCCTTGATGAAATAAGCTTCCAAATGGACACAGCAGAGAGCTCAGGGCAGCCTGTGGCTCACAAGAGGAGCCAAGAGCTTCAGTCCTTGCAAGCTTAGAAGGAACTCGGAGGTAGACCTTTCCTGAGTTGAGCCTCTGTTGAGATCCTGACCCTGGCTGAGGACTGCAGTCTTGGGAAGGAGCCAGAGCAGAACACCCAGCTAAATTGTGCCCGAACTCCTGACTCATAGATATGGGTGTTGTTTTAAGCTACTGTCTTTGTGGTGGCTTGCTAGCGAGCAGAAGTTAAGTAACATGCTTCAAGTGGAGCCAGATCTTAAAGAAAGGTGACGTTACAGAGAACTGAACGGTTGAGTGTAGTGGTCCATGCTCATAATGCAATGCGCACAAACGAGGCAGAGGCAGGAGGATCGAGAGTTCGGGATCAACCTGGCCAAACACCAAGTCCTGTCTGGGCTGGTAGAGTGCTTGCCTAGCATACACAAAGCCCAGGTCTCAATCCTTAGCGACACAGTGGGGTGGGGGTGGGGGTGAGGGATGGAGAAAGAGGAAAGAGAAAAGATGAAAAGAAGAAAGAAGGCGTCGGTCTCGGTCTCGGTAACCGTGGTTCTAGATTTTAGTTCCCGCTGTGTCATTTTAGCATCCGTGGAGCTGGGGAGTCAGTCCCATCTTTTCTCTAAACCTCCGTTTCCATGGTTCTGGTTTGAAGATTGTATTTCCTACTGCATGGTACTATGTGCAGGAGTAAATCAGCTAAAATACTCGCCAGTATGCCTGGTAGATCTGAAATGCAGTTAAGTCATCCCCTGCCTCCGTATCACACGGATTTCACCTATTGGCGCAAGTAGGACCCTCACTTGAGGTCCTTTCAACCCAGCAATAGCCGGCCGGGCTGGTTTTGCTAGCTGCTTTGTCTCTTCCATTCAGGACTTTCTGGTTTGGGGAGACTGAATGACCTTCTATCTAGTCCCGGGAAGATTTTAACTCTCTTGGGTCTTTTAAATGCTCGCCTCTTGCTATGTGATAGGATTATTTGATTCTTTTTGTCTGGATAAAAAAAATAGGGGAATCTGGGAAAGATGAGTTATTAAAGATCCCTTTTCACCTAAAGAAACATGAAATTCCCTCAGTGACACGAATAGATGACCTCAGTATTCGTACACAAGGTAACTGCATTCGGGAGAGATTTCATTATCTGGCTGAGGACACTGAGCTGTCAGTCACCCACAGGTAGTGGCTGTCACTTTCTTCATCAGCAGGAACACCTCGGGAAGTGTGAGGTTTTTTTTTTTTTTATCTGTTCCCTTGGACGGGGTGAGCAGTAGTACAGCCTTCGTGTCTACACTGCAAAGGTTTCTTAGACTCAGGTCAGGACAAGCTAAAAGAGACTAACTTCTATCTACGTGACCTTCCTTTGTTACTCAGAGAATCAGTGAGATTTTATATTTCAAAGTAGTCTAGATTGGGAGCCTCAAAAAACGAGACCGGTTTTGAAGCTATAGGACAGATATCTGTATGGCAAGAGGACAAGGGGACTGGGTTGACTCTTTCAAGAAACTGTCCTTAAAGGGAAGGGTCCTTTTTTCTCAATGCCTGCTCCCTCACGCCTTCTCCTCTCTCCCTCTCTGCCACCCTCTGCTAAATTAAAAAAAAAAAAAAAAACCAAAAAAAAAAAAAAAAAAAATAAAAAAAAAAAAAAAAAAAAAAGAGTTTCACTCTGTAGCCCTGACTGGTCTAGAGTTCACTTTATGGACCAGACTGGTCTTGAACTCACAGAGAGCTGCCTGCCTCTGCCACCCGAGTGCTGGGACTGAAGGTGTGCACCAAGGCATGTGCCCATGCCGGGCCTGCCTCTCCTTTTCTTCAGTAAGAAAGCAGAACTCCAAACACTCCTGCCATTGCCTTGTGCACATGTTGGGTGGTTGACCTGGATACAAATCCCGACGCCATTGTAGCACATGTACTTGGGCAAATCATTCCACCTCTCAAGGTCTTGATTTTCTCATGAGGAAAGTGAAGAGTGGATGTAGAAAAATCTAGCGAGATAACACAGGTGCAAAGGCCCAGTTCAATGACTTTGTTCTCGGTATATAGGGGATATAGGATCAGTTAAAGGAGAAAAACCAGTCTTCTCTTTTCGATATGTGCTAAATTTTCCTCATGTCTCGGTAATACACTTATCTGACCACTCCTATATGGTAATTCTGTCCTAAGGTGCCGTGGAAGTCAAAGATTTGCTAATGATTCCTTTAGGTAGAGGTGATGCCTGTTACTTAACCGAGCACTTACTGTTGGCCAGGGAGGCATGTGCGCCAGTTCTTGGGACCTTGCAGTAATTCCACGAGGGACTCCAGCTCAGAGGGGGCAACTTCATCAAGATCACATGGTTCAGGGAGTTAGGAATCAAACTCAGCTTCCTGGAGCAAGTATCTCTATCGTCAGCGTTTAAGCTAGTCACCAGTTGCACCAAAGAAGCTGGAAGAAACAAAGTTTGCAACCAGGCCAAGATGCAGCTAGAGTTGGCGCCGTGGACACTCTCAGCCCTGGTTCTGGCTTTGCAGAAAAGAGCCCCCAGCGATGGCGCCCCTGATAGCCCAACATGACGGCTGCTGCTGGGCACCGAATGCTGAACTCTGTGACCGTGCAGCTGAACAGAACCCTCCAAAGGCAAGTGGGTCGTTACTAGAAAGTGATCGTATGAACTCCTATCTTCTGTCGATATATGCTTATGAGAAGTAATCAATGGGAAAAGAAAGTGCTGTGAATGGGCAGTTTTCCTTCCATGGGCTTCTGACAAACCACCTAGTCCTTTAGAGCAGTGTGATAAATAAGCAGCTTTGTGTCGTTTTATTTTCTTATTTTCCTTTCCGATCTCTGTGATCCATGAGCCTCCCAACGCCTATCCCATCCAAAGCATCAGTAATAAATCATAAATATTTATAACATTTAATCATGAAGCAGCCAAAGAACTAAAGAAGTGTTACATTATTCAGCAACTCATTAGGGCACCCTGCATGCTGATAACCCAGGGCTGAGGCCTGTGAATGGTTTCTTCCATCGCCCATTGTTTCTCCCTACCACCGGAAAGACATTCCTTCATGTTCACACGTGCACCTCCCTTATAGCAGGTGTGGACCGAAGTCAATTAGACGACAACATCCTTGGCATCCTAGAAATGTATAATTTATCAGTAAACAGTAACAAAGTGCATCTTCCGCGCCATCCCATGATAGAAAGAGAAGGGAAAACCGGAGTGGGGGTAGAGGTAGAAGAGAAGAAGACGATTACAGAGCCCTCCCGAGAGCCAGGCAATAATGGCTGGAACACCACATTTACATTATTAATGACTCCACTACATTTCCATCCCCACATTCGCTTTGTTTTATTACTTCTGAAGGGAGAATATTAGATCTCCTCTTCAGTCTCCAGGAAACACTAACAACAAAAACCACACAAACATGAAACAATGGCTCCTTGAAGAGACAGAAGTCTCCTGCTGGGAGTGTTCCAGCAGGGTGTTCCCACTACTAGAGAGAGACAGAGACAGAGACAGAGAGATTTGTGTTACAGAGTGAGTTTTCAGCTTATTTTACTTTGAATATAAAGATCCAAGTTTGGACCAGGCACACACCTTTAATTCCAGCACTTGGGGGACAGAGGCAGGCAGATCTCTGTGAGTTCGAGGCCAGCCTGGTCTACAGAGTGAGTTCCAGAACAGCCAAGGCTACACAGAGAATCCCTGTCTCAAAAAGCCAAAATCATGATGATGATGATGATGATGATGATGATGATGATGATAGTAAAAGATCCAAGGTAAATTTTAGCATACCAAGTAGCGGCTTTCATTGTAACGTTGTGCATATATATCATGACTCCATCCCTCCTCCCTCTCCCTTGCTGGTCCCTTCCCTCTCTGACAAACGTCCTCCAGCTTTCAGGTCACATATATTCTATTGTTCTCATTTGCCCCACCCCCTTTATATTCCTCTTCCATCACAAGCATCTCCTTTCTGCTTTCATGCCCTGCATATGTGTATGTGTTTATGCACACACACATTTATATGCACACACACACATGCAAGTATACACAGATTTAAATCTAGGTTCTGCATATGAGGGAAAACACGTCACACTTGTCTTTCTGAGGCTTCTTTTGCCTATGATCATGCCCAGTTCCATCCACTTTCCAGCATGTGTCATGATTTCATTCCTCTTCGAGGCTGAATAAAATTCCATTGTGTACACATCACATTCTCTTCCTCTGTTCCTTTGTTGACGAGCATCTAGCCTGGTTCTCTGTCTTGGCTCTCATGACTAATGCAGCAATAAACATGAACGTGCCTCTGCCTCTGTGGCACGCTGACTCGGTGCACCAGGTGGATGCCAGCCTAGCAGCGGTGTGTCTGAGTCATATGGCAGCTCTATTTTTAGTTCTTCGAGGAACTGGCATACTAACTTCCATGGTGATAAACCAGATCACATGCCCATTATGGTTTTTGTTTGTTTGTTTATTTTTTATTTTATGTTTCAGATAAGGTCTCACTATGTTGCCCAGTACGGACTCTCTAGTGGTCTTCTTCCAGTCTCAGCTTCCTGAGCAGTTTGGACTGCAGTGGATACCACTACATGCAGCGGGGATTTGAGGGATTTTCTGTGAGAAAACATAACATTCTCTCAGGAGACAAAAATCCAACCTTCATCTTCCTTCTGCACCAGAAATGTAAAGGTTGGACTACTCACTTTCCCAAGCTCTCTCGGTGGGAGAGCGGTCATGTGACCCAGTTCCGTCCAATGAGATGAGAGAAGAAGGCTCTTTGGAGGACTGGGGGGATGCTTTCTTGAAAAGGTTGTTGAAGAGATGATAGGCTCCCTGGAAGTCTCATGCACTGCTGGTGCGATTGAAAAATGATGTTGCTTCTTTGTCTTTCCTTTCTTTTTAAAATTGCGTTTATGTATTTCATTTTTATTACTTTTTTACAGTTTCACATGCATCCCGTTTGCATACTGACCACTCTCGCCTCCCACTTCCCTACCGCCCCTGAATTCTACCCTCACCGTTCTTCACTGCTCATGTCTATGTTGTTTTGGGACCCGCCGAGATTCCCCGGGGCCATCTGTGTGACTGTGGGTTTGAAACTATCCGTGATAGCTTGGTGGGTTCAGCAGTAAGCATGCCACTAAAGACAATGATCCCCTCTCCCAGAATCTATCGATAGGCATAGTTTAGAGGTGAAGGGGAGGGCCCCACGAGCCCCTCCTGTTAGGATTCTGCCACTCCTCCAGCTGCATGAGCGCACATGCGCAGTTCAGTAGCTAAGTAAGGGGTCTTATGTCATCCGTGTGCTGCGTGATCTCACAATGCGTGCAGCACTGTCACACAATCAGTGCACACATGGCATAGCTCCGTAAGTCCACCTGCACATGTGCAGGAGAATCCTTAAGAAGCCAGACACAGACTCCTCCTCTGTCTCCTCTCCTCCTCCTCCTCCTCTCTCTGTCTCTCTGTCTCTCTGTCTCTGTCTCTCTGTCTCTCTCTCTCTCTCTCCCTCCCTCCCCTATCTCTCTGCACGTGTGTCTCCCCAGACCTGGTTACCCTCTTCTGTCCCCCTCCCGCTAATAAAGCTCTGATACTGGGTTTTGTCGTGTCTCATGACCTTTTTGTCTAGTAACAGCGCCGCTTATTATTTTTTAAAACCAATACCTTCCACTTCTCCAAATGGCTGTTGATGGGGCTGGTCTTGTGTTGGCCCAGAGCTGGTCACTACAGTTGATGTGGGCTAATGATTATAGTAGTTTTATGATGTCTAGGGAACAGTGTTGCACATAGCACTTTAACCTATCTTACATACTTTC